AAACCAGAAATAATTTCTCTCTCTACCTTTATGTTCAGTCCTCCTAAAAACAGCATTTGGGTGAAGGCAAGAGGGAATTAAAAGAAATTGATAGCTGCAGTGAAAAACCAGTTTGCAGTTAACTCAGCCTACTGACCCTCCGCAGATGGGCGCTGGTGGCCCTTCCTAAAGGCCTTAATAGAATAATTTCCATCATCGGCGCAGTGATGGCATTCCAGCAGAGCTGCACTGATCAGCTGTGTTCATCAGAACTGCGAGTTTTTCTTGACATCTGAGCTGCTCACATGGCTGTCGTAAAGCGTGAGCGTAAACACCTTGCAGAGCTGGGGCTGCTACACAGAGTATCTCGAAAGGATCATGAAAATAATGGGCAGGAAATGATGCATTTCAGAAAGTGCAGGCTGTGTTGTTCACCGCAGGGCAAAGAAATGCCTTTATGAACAAGCAGTGTTTAATACCTGAGTCACCCAGGCCGTAAAGGCTTCCAGAAATAAAAGATATATTTCAAAATGGAAAAAACAGATATTCTTTGAGATAGAGCTGTTAAACGTGTCGTAATCGAAGTAATGCACAGCAAGGAGGTACCTGGTTAATTTCCATTACAAAATTTTCCAATGTTTTTTTTTGTTTGTTTTTTTAATGGCCTGGATTGAATACAGTTGTATCAATAACAAAATAAAGACAAGCAAAGCAAGTCAATAAACCAGACCGCAGAAAGGTCTGTCTCTATTCCCATACAACACAGAGGGAAAAGATACAAACTGATTAAGAATAGGGAAAAAAAATTAAACAGTCATCCTCAAGCAAATAAAACCACGTTTAAAAAACACAGAATTCTCAAATAAATGATCTGCTATGACAAGGAAGCAGGTTCGTCCTGACAGTTGTTCACTTATTGCATTCATTTTTATTCCTGGAAGTTTCATATTTGCATAACAAGTGCAGTGATGGTTCTGCTGTCGATGTTATGTAAACAGAGGCCAAAAATGACATGGAAAAAATCATCTTATCTTCTGTTTTACATCTTTTTGTCCACCTTTGTGGTTGGATCTGTTTGCACTGACAGTGACAGTCTCAATATACAACAGTTCAATGGGAGCACACTCTGATCTTTTATTAGCACATTGTTATACACTGTTTGGAAACAGGAAATTACATTTTGGAGTAAAGAACAAGGATCAGGACACATTTTTTTGGAATCACTGTAATGGCCTGTGCCCAAAGAAACTAATTCAGGAAGCACATGAAGCTTTCTGGTTACTGCAGGTATGATTTCTGAAAGCGACCATTCAGAAAAACATTATAGGGAATCCTGTCAGACTGAGGGAAGCATGCAGGGGCCTGGATTCTAAAATCCAGCCCAGGATTTTTGCTGTGTGCACGAAACATCCATGAAATATTTTCTTTGGAAGGATAGTACAATGAAATCTGAAAGCCAAGTTCGTACAATACAACTGTTCCCAGCAGTAGGGGATGGGAGTCTGATATTGATTTGGATCTTCTGATACTGTGAACTACCATGCTGTAAAATCGCAGAGCATTACTGTAAGGGCAAGAGCTGAGAAAAAAAAAGTCTTTACTAGCAAATAATCATTGCCTCGAAGGCAAGGAAGAGTCAGAGGTGTTTCATTCATTGTTCAGTGGCACCACTGAAGCTTAGCAGTAAAGCCATCTGTGTGTTATCTCCAAATACATCATGAAAGCATTTTCATTTTGAGCTTAAGCAAAGTCTCATTCATGGGTGCATGCAGGTACAGCCCGATGCCTATGCACACATAGACCCACAGAATCATTGTGGTTGGAAAAGACCTCTAAGATCACCAAGTCCAGCTGCCAGCCCATGCCTACCATGGCTGTAACCACATCCCTCAGTGCCACATCTCCACAGTTCTTGACCACCTCCAGGGATGGTGACCCCACCACCCCCCTGGGCAGTACTGTCACTGCACCACCACTCTTCCTGCAAAGAATTTCTTCCTAATATGGTAATTTTCATTTTAATGGCTCTATGCAAGCTCCAACTACTGAACAGTACTTTGTGTGTTTTCTCCTGCTGTACAGTAATGGTGTAATTTAAACATCATTCAAATGAATATAACCACGCAGGCATTATGCCTGTAAGTAATCAAGTGCTCTCATCCACCTGAGCACATGAAAGCAGTTGTGTGGTGCCCTTGGGTGTGCTTCACTTGGACCTCGTGCACTCAGAAACATGCTGACCTGTAGGCTGCTGTAGTCAACTCTCACCAGCTTTGTTGACTTTACAACTCCCCACCAATACAGCCAGTATGCTTCCTTGTTTTACTTTATTCTTTTCCTGAGATGTGGATAACGATGAGAACCACAAGCAATATTCAGGATCTATATATGCCCCATACTGGGCATAGTGTAGGCTTCTATCAAAAGTCTGAATTCTTCCTGCCACCATCTACAATGCACAAGTAGCTTTAATGTCAGTGGAATCTGGCAGATAAAGTGGTGTGTGTGCTCTAATAGGTATCACCTATCTTGGCATAAGCAGAAAGGATCTTGCTTTGCTTGGCCATGTATTTTTTGCGTAATTAATTCAGCAGAGCTGTAAAAAAGGCTCCATACAGCCACACGCATCCCATAGGACATCCATCCCAAAGCAGGAGATCTACTTGAACACTTTTAAATACATTGGCTTGGACAAGTGTGTGCCAATCAAATTCAGAATAGGGAGAACTGCCTTTCTACTCCGAAATAAAAGCAGTAGCATTGTTACATGTGCCTCTTAACATCTTCCAGCATGACTTGTCTCATGGTATCTTCCATTTCTCCAAGCATATCAGCTCACCTAGAAGATGTTCTATTTCACTACCAGTTTCTGAATCAGCCCTTTGAATCCTCCTGGTGAGAGGGCAGTTACCTGCAGAGCTCACCATCACTGCAGCCCATTTGATAGGCACTGGGTTTCACTAGTTTTTATTGGACTAATATTCAAAAGACACTTCTAAGGCCACCAATACCATCATTTGACTGTTGGTGCTAGAATATTAACTCATTTGGAATGAAGCATTCGTGTTATTAACCTTTTATTTTTAACATTTCTTCTTAAGAACTGAAACAAATGGCAGAACTACGTTACCTCCTTGAAGTTATGGATACACTTTTTCCTCCATGCTTTCAATTGAATTCAGTTGATTCTAATTGTTGTGCATTCAGCATTCTATTAGCTCTAAAAGCATTTTGTAGAGAAAAGCAATTCATGGAGTTTACACTTAAAGGAACATTTCTCTGTGCCCAAAGTCACAGAGCAGTAATTTATTCTATGGATAGAAGTAATCTAGTCTTTAAATGTGTTGACCCTGTTCTGTTTATCCCACTAAAGAAGGGCATTTTGCCCTCAAAAATGCCAACCTTTATATATATATTAAGTATTTGTCTGATCTGATGTTTGAATTAATCTACATAATGGCTGCAAAATGCTAACTTATCATTCCATATAACAACTACTTGGCGTGTGGGTTCGAATGATCCCTTGTGCTAATTCCCCACTGAATTTAAATGAAGACATCTGAAAGGATAATTTGAGCTTTTGATTGAGAAAATGGACACTGCTTTGCTAAGAGAGAGAAAAATAAAGCCACGGTTACTTTCTTTGCTGTCATTTTTGTGGGACTGATGCATCCCTTCAGGGTGAGGGGCTGGGACCAGTCAAGATGTGACACGACTATGCTGCACACATTCATCAGAATGAGTTCCTCTCCAGATCTTACTGAGATCTATTAGAAAAGGATTCATCTCTAACTTCAACATCTTTCAGGGACAAATCTTGCTGATTTTACTGGTTCTCCATCCCACCGCTGCAGTATTGTAACCTCCTGACTCTCAGACAAACATGGGATGGTTGTCAGGGTCACTTTCACAAAAGCCTGTTTTCCATAATATCTAAACCAGCTCAGAAGTGCAAAGACCAAATGAACTTGCTGGCAAGTTCACTTCCTGCCCATCTTTCTGCAGATAATTGTCACATTTTACTTAGGCTTCGCAAAAAGAAAAGTAGGAAAAAGGCTTTATTGTGACACTGAGGCTTGAAAACACCCATCAGTGATTTGTCTTATAGTTACAAGGCAACTTTGAAGTTGTGGCAGCTCGGAAAAACCAGCCTGACAAGCACGCTCACTTCCCCTGTTTCTTTAAAACTCCTTGAGCATATAAGGGAAATTTAAAGTGAAGAAAGCAACTTGAGCACAAGCACTTTTTGTTCCCAGCACACAAATTCTTCTCGTCCCTGTGACTGGAATCCCCATTTTTGCCTCTGACCGATGCATCAGACAGAGCAGCGTTAGCACCCATATAAATCAATAAGCACTGTCACTTTCAGTCTGTCAAGGCAATTTGTAAGCTTTTTCAAGTGGACATCCTAGAGGATACAGATGGTGTAACCTCCAGCCGTCCCTACAGCTGGAAGGTTTCTGCCTTGGGCCATTCACACTACCACAATTCCTATTCATATTAGGGGAAAAAAGTTATTTTCAGTAGAATTGCCGTAAATGAAAAGGAAAAAATAATTAAGCCTTATGTTGAGAACTAAAGCAATCAAGAATTTCCATACAGAAGTAACTGCAGTGCTGTGCAAGTAGAACTAGATTTTTATTTACCTGGATAAAAACCACAAGGAGAATACTTACCTCCCTAAGGTTAAACTGTTCTTACAAAAGATTTGTTTCAAGCTTTGAATTTAAGCACAAAAGCTCCATGAACACGCTCCAAACATGCAGACAGTTTACCATGCATTAGCAGATATAATCCTCAGCTTCACCAGACCAACATTTTTCTGAGCAAACGGGGTTTTTCTAAGCAAGGAGCACCCTGTATTTCAAACACTCCTCTTCAAGAGAGTGCAAAAATCACTGCACAGCAAAAAAGAAAAAAAAAAACACATCGGCTGATGCTGAAGATCCCAAACTTCCACAACTCAGGGTTCAATCCCACACGACTGGCTTTGTGAAAAGTGCTGATGTGTGGTCACTCACCTTAGAGGGGACGGGAATCCGGAGGGCTGTCCAGGCTGTTTTGTAGTCTGTAGCACCCCGGTCTGCGGATACTTTCCCAAGCCAGAAGAGCCATTCACATTCCCTCTGCCTTCCCAGCCTCATTCACTGCTCTCAGGGCTCAGCTAGCTGCACTGACTCACAGAAATCAAGCTCCCTCAGGGTCCTAGTGCTGTAAACGTGTGGGAGCTGCACAGACTCGTAGGAATTCTGCTGCTGGCTTGGTGCCTAGCCCGTGCAGTGATGGACAGATGTGCAGTGAAAGTTTGAAAGCATGCACTGCTTGTATGACTGTGCATGCATAATAGCAAGAAAAGCCTCCGACTTCCTGGTTCCACTGTCAAGAGCTGACACTCTTTAAGGGTGGTTTTTTTTTTTTCCCCAGGTCTTCAGCATTTCTACTTTGCATCTTAATCCCTGCGCTCAAATTAAAGAAACTCCGGGCTCTGTAATTAATGGGCCCTTTTGAAATTCATCTCTGGTGCCCTTCACTGATGTCATCTGTTGATAAACAAACCTGAAGGAACGCTAACAGTTAACCGGGGAAGCAGTGCACTGGGTTGCCTGCAGAAATCCCCACTATTGGCCCTCTTTAACAGGGCTCAGCCAAACACAGCTCAAGAGTAGCAAAGAAATGTTTGATCCTGACTTGGGGCAGAGGAAAAGATTATGTAGAATCCCTTCTAGCCATAATATTCCGTGTTTAACATGCTTACCTTGAGCAGTAAAGAGATATGGAAATGTTTTCCATTATTTTTTATGAAGGAGGATTAAGCACTTGCAGCAAGGAAACAATGGTGTGTTTTAAGCACTGATAGACAACAGAAGGAATACAAACGTGAAGAACTACAGAAGATAAAGAAAAGCCACAGGCAGTTGGCTAACTACACTGAGAACTGCAAGGCAGCCACCTGGGATCTCACCTGGAAATCAATCATCATTTAGCCTTTGTGATTGCACAGAGAAGCAACAGAAGTTATTTGGATGTCCTCCCCGGAAAATAAGAACAGTGCATTTTCTCAATGTGGCAATAATCAAACATCTTTCCATTCCACCCAGAAGAGGGCAGCCATCCAGAGACACTTATCCCTACAATCTTTTGGACACAGGAAAAAAAAAGACACCAACGTGTGGAAGATAATGCAGAAAGGTGTGAAGCAAAAGGAAAAGCAGCTTTGAGATCATGGTGTTTCTTACCTGCCACATGGATACGTTCTTTTTTGAGCGTGTACCAAGCAGATCTTCACATCTTTTAAGGTTAATAAGACAATTCTTATTCTTTTTCTCATGGTGCCAAATATAACAGAGGCTTCAGTGCTGGACTCTAAAGCAGTGTCCTTTTAAAATGGCCTGAATTATCTTTAAAGAAATTCTCTCTATAAAATGATTAATGCAAGAACTACCAGCCCAGTTTGCCAGAATTACACAGCTCAAATTGCTCTGTTTTTCTAGAAGAAAAATGCTTTCCACACACTGTGCAAGTCACAGGCCAAAGCGTGATGCCTTCATTTGCACAGACAGCCATCAGAGTTTGGGAAAGCATTGCCTGAAAACTTGACCTTAGAATTTGGCCTTAGCTTCATATTTCACTGCAGAAATGCCAAACTGTTCTTGTGTTGAGTGAGCATTTTGTTGCACTCATTTCTTAGAATACACACAGATGAGGGCTTTGTGCTGCAGCATTTGAAGAAGCGTTGCAGCCCGTGGTGGCTGCAGCAAACAGCATCAAAACAGACAAGACATTAATGCTCAGCATCCCTACAATAGATTTCTTGGAAAAGCTGCCTTTTTCTTAAGAGCGTGGCCACAAAAGCTCTTTGGGCACTGTAACAATAACATACCATATTTGTACTTAATCAGTTGCATTGTTTCTGTCTGAAGAAACACTCCTTTTGCACCCTGTTCTTCTACCTCCCGAGTTCACACCAGCAAAGAAAGCTGCAGCAGTCTCTGGGATGAAGCACTGGCACGCATTCTCTGCTTTTATGTTCCCACATACCCCAAACAAACACCATTTTAGCTTCTGGAATAGGTGTGGTGCTACAGGCACGCTGCAGTGTGCTTAATTCCAGGTGGACTGCTATAGGCAGAGCCCAGTGGCTGAAAGCATGGCACAGAGGTCACATCTTCTCCTTCCAGCAGTGCTTTGAAACACAGATTTAAGTTTTACCACATGCACGTTTTCTTTTATCCTCTGTGAGCTGAGGATTCTCTTGCTTTGACAAGCTGCTGCATGAAAGGTGAAGGATAGTGATGTCAGGCTGCATAAGGGAAGGTGTGCTCTGGAATCAGAGGGGAAGCTCTTTATACAGCATTATGTGAGCACAGAAAGCGTGAATCCTGGTTCTCTGCAGGTTTGCATCCACTTATTTCTCTGCCTTTACTGCAGTAGTTCCACGTCCCCGTGGCATCTTGCGTAAGCTTCTTTAAACCATATTCCCCCTAAGATCACATGAATTCAGCAGTGTACTGCCATACAGCACAGAAACATTCTGCATTTCAAAGAAACAGGAGTACTCACTCCAAAATGAAGAGCATCACCACTGAGAGCTACAGATACAGGTAAAGCATTCTGTGCTTTGCTGAGCCTGGGGCTGAGGTAAGCCCTGACCTAAGCTCCCAGCAGCAGCTGTGCATTGCCATAGCCTTGTCTTCTGCCACATCAGCACCTTGGATGACTCACAGGCTATGAAAATGGTGCCCTATGCCTCCATGGTACATTCAGTATTGTCAGCAGGTTTAAGGGCTGTGGGGGCATTTCTCCTGGAGTTGGTGTCTTTGTGCTGCTGAAAGCACATCAGGGAAGATGTTTGAGAAGAAGCTCAAGGAAGGTGCTTGAGAAGCAGCAGCGAGGCTTTTCATCCTGCTCAAAAAGGAGCAAAACAGCTGCTGGCAGGCTCCAGGCAATACCAAAGTGCTCACAAGTAGACCAATAGTTATATACAATAAGAAGATCTAAACTCACCCAGCTGGTGGAAAGCACCTCTGGCAATGCAGCACTCCTCAAGAAGCAGCCTAGGTCCAAGAAATGCTCACCCTTCAGTGGCTGCCCCTTAAATGAGCCCAGGATGGTCCAGCCCTTCTGGGCAGATGGGAGAGCACAGGTGCAAACAATGTGTTCCTTAGGCCAACAGCATCCCTTCACCAGGTGCTCAATCACCAGTTCAGGGATTCCCCTGCTTTTTTCCATTTAGAACCAATGCTCTATGAAGAAAAAAAGCTGCCAAAAATATAAGCAGTTCTTCTGATTATTTCTGAAATCTTTATGGCTGTGGAAGTAACACAGGTGGGAGCAGCTGTTTTTTCCTCCAACCTTACAGCCACCTTACAGAGCAGTCAGGGTGCTGAGAGAGGGACTCACAAGTTCAAGCTCTGAGAAATATTGAGGAATGGGATGAGGATAACGATGCTTTTTTCTTCCAACACACTTATTTACATCTGTATTCATGTGTGCAGATGTAATACATCCTTGTAATATTAAGTCCCTGCGTGAAAAAGATGTTTCCTAGATGCTGGGAGGTGCTTAGACGTGAGTGCAAGAAGAGTTTCAAGCATCTCAAGCGAAGTATTCAAAGTGGCAGTGTTTGTTTTACCTAAAAGAAAAATTATCAGTTTTAAAAATGCCTAGAAAACACAGCTATCTTGTGTAAACTTGTCTGAGAGTTCTTGTCCTGGGGCTAAAGTGGATGTAAAGTGATAGTAAATATTTCCCGTTTTACTTACCTGGAGGGAACTTGTCCCCGTTGCCAAATCTGTGTTAATCAAGAGGTGAACAGGAATTGTCATAATGCAAGTTCTTTTCTTGTGTTAGTGACAAAAAATACATATATATTTTAAAAAATACAATAATCTCGTGGTTTATTGTGTCTTGCTTTGTGTATCTTTGTAGTATTGTGTGTATGGCAGAAGTTACTGGAAAAAAAGCAGAAGAGTCACTGGCGGGTTATGGATAAATAGGTCAGACAAACCATTACTGACTGCAGACTCTTGGCTGTTTCAGCTGTGTGGCTTCTCCACCGGATCGATAGTGCACAGAATGCAGCACATTGGAAAATCGATTTGCACACAATACGTTTCTAATACACTGCAATTCAAACCAAGTGGTGATGAGAAACGTTGATTTATGGTGAATTAGGGATGTGATCTGTGCTAATCCTTTCTTTCTCTTTTAGTTGGCTGTGTAATTAAAGCATCTCAGAAGCCTGAGCCTACTGAAACCAGAATGTCTTGACTGGCAAGTGGAAGCAACATACAGACCAAGCAGAGCTATGAGATAAACATGATGTTACTCTTCAGACTCAGCAGAGGTTTTGCCTCATGGTTGTTTGAAAGAATGCAGTAACTCCAAACGTTTCTGGAATATGCAAAGCGTGCACTTGTGTTGGAATACCTTCAGACTCAGCTACTGCTTTGAAAGGAGGGTCAAATAAGAGCATATGTGCTCTCTGCAGTCTTAAATGTGACATGAACTTGGAGGACTAGCACTCAGATGCTTATTCCCTATAATCTTCTGTAAGAGCTGAAAAGTTGTAAGATATCCTGCTTTGTAGCTGCACAGCTTTTTCCAGGACGTGGCAAAAATTGATACAGCCTGATTCCTGCAATTGGCTGAAGCAGGGCTGGATTGGAATCTGAAGTCTCTTTGGAAACCATGAAGAACTTGTCAGACAAAGTTCACTAGCTGTGGACTTCTATACAAGGTCTCTCTCCCTCTTTCCATGAAAAAAAAACCTCCCTGGATGCCATTTTCAAGGAACACACGTGGTCTGGTGTGCTGTTAACATTCACCTCCAGGACAGGAGCAACTCAAGAAGTGGTCAAATACGTATTGGTTTGTTTTTGAGTGGGTGTAGAATCATAGAATGGTGTGGGTTGGAAGCGACCATTAAGATCATGCAGTTCCAACCCCTCTGCTACAGGCAGGGACACCTCCCATAGCTGCTCACAGCCCCATCCAGCCCAGCCTCGAATGCTTCCAGGGCAGAGGCATTCACAGCCTCTCTGGGCAACCAGTTCCAGAGTCTCACCACCCTCTCAGTAAAGATTTTTTTTCCTAATACCTAGTCTACATCTACCCTCTTCCAGGCTAAAAGCATTTCCATGTAAAACCATACGTGCTGAAAACGCAGTGCTAGCATCAATCCTTCTGGGATCCGCAGAGTCTGACAGGTATATCCTCTCCTTGGGGGGGGCACTGACACTGTCATTGCAGCTCATACTTGGTTGAAGACTCATTCACCCAATGTCAGCTTGCAATAAGAACATTTGTCAGCAGGTTTGGACGTATTACCTGTTACTAGATAGCAAAGTTATCATTTGCTGACTTCCTG